CATAAGTGCATTAGAAAGATTAAAAGACAAAGAATATTTGAGTATGAAAGAAGCAGACATATACGCTGAAATTGGATATGGTTTTAATGAATTAGAAAGTTGGACTTCGTCTATTGAACATTGTTTAACAGCATTAGATTGGTATAGAAATATGGAAATAAGTAATTCTGATAATATCTGTCGTTTACATACTACACTTGGTAGTTGTTATGGTAGAACAGAGATGTATAATTCCGCCATCGAACATTTTAAAAATGCCTTGAAAATCAATGAAGATAACAATAGTTGCTCGACAGTAAAAGAATCGATTTTTCTGAACCATCAATTAGGTTACTGTTATTATATGTCTGAACAATATGAAATGGCTTTTGAGTATTGTGAAAAATCGATTTATACAGTTGAACGTTCATTATTTCATCGAAAATATTATACAATGACTGATAGTTATGAAATAATTGCAAATATTTATGTATACTACGAAGAAAAAACTCTTGCTTGTAATTGTTATATTAGAGTATTGGAACTATTATCAGCTGACGACGAATCAGTTTCAATAATCAAAATAAGCCGCATCCAAAATTCATTAAAAAGTTTAAACTCAAAATTCTGGCTACATAAGGTAAGTGGTTCAGAACGATCTTTTTTGCAATATGCGAATTGTATTTTGATGCTTTTAATTACTCTACAGTGCCGAGAGGATTCTTCGATAAGCAATTCATAACAGTTACTTGCTTTGTTTAATTACGTGAATAGAATAAACTTATACAAATGCTCACTGAATTTCTTGTATAAAATTCGCATTTGCATAGATTATATTGCAGTAGAGCATACAGGAAGAGTAGCGAGTTTATTTGATCCTAAGAAAGTCTCGAAGAAGTCGAAAATCGAAATAGAGACTCTCTAATGAGAACGTTTGAGCAAAATATTTTCAGTTGATTCATCAATTATTTTCTTCATCAGTGTGAGTAATGGCTGAATATTATAAACATATTTTTCATTTTCTTTAATTTTTTAAAATATAGTTAATGTATTTCTTCTTTAATAGATAGCTTTTATCACTTTTCTTTCTTGAATGGTTTGCTCAAATCTATCCTGCTTCTTAACAGAAATGAAACAAACGTTTGTCTTACTCCCGAAATTCGAATGTTACAAGTTAGATTTGTCGTCTCAATGAAAAATTTATAGATTTTAAAGAAACAAATGAAAACTACAAAAATTATTGTTTCACATAGTCGACTATGTAAGAGGAAATTTTCGAAAATATCTAATCGATTTTTGAATAAAAACTTGGAATCATATGTAATTCATAATTTTGGTTTCGAGTATGGCAATGAGTGCTGCCCTTAGATCTTGAGCAGTCAATGGTAAATGAAACAGTCAGTTTTCTTCTAGCTTTAATTCAATGAAAGTTTAGTTTTGTAGGTTAAAATCGATGCTAAGTCTAACAGAAACCGTTCTTATATTTCGGGAACGTTGAATTGACATAAGCTGACTTTTGGGCCAAACTGCTCCTGATAAAAAAAAATTCAAATCATCTGAATCATTTGGCTAAATCTTTTGTCAGTTTTTGTCGTGTAGACAAAAAGTGATCAGGACACTTTAATCTATCACATCAGAAAGTTTGAAAAACAAATATCGAAGTTCGATTGAGCCTGTTAAGCTGAAAAAGGTTCATCTGTTCCGCGAAAAAAGCGCCTCCTACGGATACTCCGACGTAAGCTACCACGTACCTTAGACTATTCTAAAAAAGTTTCCTTATGTCTGCAGCTGAAGTACTTGTTGTTGTATTTCTTCAGCCTCCAGTGCTCGTTTTAATCGTTTTGATAACTGTTCAGTTGTTCCGTTTGCCTTTATCTTTCGCTTCTTCAGCTCAATTTGCATTTCACGATAAGTATAATTGAATTCTAAGGCAGTTGTTGCTGATGATGGTGATGAAGACATTGTGCAGCAATGGAATTTATACGCAACGAAAATTTTGATATAGTGACTGTAGATTGCATTGAAACGGAAAATAAACTTCACCATTCCACTCAGCGTGACCCATTACCCCTATCTTGACCCATTTTAGGGCGATTGAAGGTCATTTGGCCGATTTCGGGACTGTCAGGAGAAACGCTAATAGCTCCTGTGCGGAACAAGGTAGCGATCTCTACCTTGTGCATATTGAAAGGGAACAAGCTTCTTCATCGAATGGTCACGCTGGAAGTCAAAATCGAGTGGGAAATCTTTTCAGAATACCGTCCACAAATGTCCAATCAAAATTCACCTGATTAGTCATGTATTGGACCAATTGAATTCGACATGCTTTTGTTACCAACAGGTAGTTCTTTCGAGTGTTGTTCTTCCGGAGTTATTCAGAAAATGGCAATCTGTATTTTGATCTGTGTTTCATTGGTATTATAGATCTTTTTGTGTGTTGATCTTGGTTTCGTTATAATGGCAATAGCAACACAGGTCAGGTACGGTGCTATAATTGATGAAAATATCCGAAATGCCGGAAAACTTAAGACTAGTCTAGTAGTGGTGCTTGAAAAGCAGGACTATTGTGTTCTCGAACATTATGATCTTTCGAAAGCCTATGAAACATCAACTGTTTTGTCCGGCTTGTTAGCTATGCTAGGACATTTTGGGCGCAATTCTCAGTACTGCCATTATCTGACCGACGACGTGTTTCCAATCAGATCCGGTTTTTGTGTGTTATAAAGAAAGAAAAAGAAATTTGCGAGTGATACTCATATCTCATTAAAAAAGGTTTTAGTTATTTTTTAGCGTTTCTGAAAAACTGCTATTCCAAAAATCGGATCTCTGAAGACCTACAAGCAACTGCCACGATCATACTCGGAATCAGCATAGTCGATAACCTATAATCCACTAGGTCTCATTGAGAAAATGATTTGACAGTTAAATCAGTTCCCTCGTGACTCGATTTTTAAATTAGGCCTTCGTTACCTTCTGGCACACATTAGCAGATAAAAGTTTGAAAAACTGTCTTTTTGATTGTTAATAAAACGCCCTTTGTTCATATTGATACTGAAATCCCAAAATCGGTTTCAGCCATTTTGTGAACAAATATATTAAAGAGTTTTTATTAAAATGAATTTAGTTGTTCTGATACCTTACTGAGTGCCAGTAGTGCTATGACTCAAGTGAAAAAGCAGTTGTGATTGTACTAGCCTATTTTAGGACTCGTAGTAAAACGCTTTAAACTTTCTTCTAGGACTAACTAATTTCTTTAGGATTAGCGATGGTACCTTGCATCTAATTAATAAATGAGCTTGAATTAAATTGGGTTAAAGTATACGAAAGGCTCGACGGGATAGTGTGTGAGAGTTATATTTTAAGAGTCCATAGCGAAACGATTTACTTTGTGTAATACATAGCGAACAGATTCTGTCCATTCAAGACTGGAACAGTCTTATTAAGCATGGTATTATACAATAGGAGAGGAAGCAGGAAGCGTAGCTCAAAATAACTAACGTGTGTTATTGTGCAGAGTTGCGAAAATACGATTTGTGGTGAAAAAAGATAAGCGTTTAGAATATGAGCCAAAACAGAACAGCACCAAACGTTAGGCGTTGAGCAATTTCGATTCTGCCACAAAACTTTGTAGATTTGAGAACTTTCAAAAGTATAACAGACAGTAAGGGGACACCTCCTATATCCTGATCGGGATATAGCTATATCCCGATCAGGATATAGAAAAAAAGTAGTATCCCGATCGGGATATAAAACATGTACTTTCTTCGTAAAAACGATTAAGGGGAAAATGACGACATTTTGGGGTAAAACTGACGTCACCATTCGAAAGAACTCGAAAAATTACATCGGATCTTCCTTTTCGATATATTGAAACACAATTATTTTCTCATGCGTCGACAACATATAAATATACGTGCTTTGTGTTTAACGGGAAATTTTCTAACTATCCGTTCTTGCAGATATATTGCCTTATGTTCTTTGAGCACGCTTCAATTTATCAGATTTAAATTTTGTAACGATTAGACCCGTATGGTGTTTTTGCATTGATGTTTTGAGAGGCATAATTGAATCAAGTGAATTATTGATAGTTATAAGAAGACGAAAAAGAAAAGAACGTTACAAATGTATGGTAGATGAAACTGTGCGTGGTATACCACGCACAGTTATAACGACTTTGTCTTCTATCTTCTATTATATTTTATATTACACTCACATATGAAAGATGTTTAATAGAAGAAATCTATTTACGTCTGTTAAAAAGATATATGTGTCTCTTTGATCAGCTGGAGAAAACAAAAGACACTACTAGGAACATTAGAGAGGGGTAGTAAAGAAGAAGGAGAAGAATATTCACTCTGATATAATTAAAATTTATCATTTTCTTACAAATTAAAAATTAAAATTCTTAATATCCTGATTGGGATATAGATTTTCTTGATATCTCAATCGGGATATCGAATTATATCCTGATCGGGATATAATTTCAAACTATATCCCGTTCGGGGTATAGAAAAAATTTTGCTGCAAAAAATGATATCCCAATCGGGATATGTCTCCACACTGACAGAGTATGCAGAACCTCGAAAACTATGATTCAAGGCTATGAAGTAACTAGATGCAAGGTACCATCACTAATCGTACAGAAATTTTGTGTACAAAGTTTAATCCAGCTGTATGAAAAGTGAATTACATAGTTCGTGATCTGGGCTATTGAATGACACTATTCGGGGGTTTACCTACTTTTCTTTTTGAGAGACCAACCGTATTCTACATTAACAGCTTATTTTTGAACCACATCTCTTAATATTTGAGAAACAAAAAAGTTTTGGCTATATGGTCAGATAGAACTCACTTTAGTGTGTATATAGTATAAAAGTCGCAGTTATACCTCCGGTACATATGAAAAGAATTAAGTTTTACTTTTATAAGTTATTTTCAGTTTCCTTTCTTTTTCCGCTGATCTATGTAGATAAGTCTAAGCAATAAGTATTAATATGTAATAAGTTTCATCCAATGCCGTAATGGTGATTGTGAATCGTAAGTACTGGTTCTCACGCAATGGCTTCTACGGTTCAGGTATGTGAACGAGAATAAGCACGGTTAAAAGACGTGCTATACTGTACATGCAATGTAATGTGTACATCTACGATGATTTTTCCGTTTTCATACAGAAGTGTTATCAAATCTGGAGTCCGGATGTTTACACAGATGAGCATGTCAATCATTTTCAGGTAAAAGGTGATCAATCAGAAAGAAAATCATCACGAAGAGGAAGAAATTTACACTCATTTATAATAGAAATACTGATAAATAAACAACGAAAATATCAAAATTTCCTGATCACAGAAATGCTCTCTGAAATAACCGCCAAAGCACTTCGCAAAACAATTCGTCTTCTTAAACACTATCGCATAGATTAAAAGAAAAGTAATATATAACCGTCGCTACACTGATTCTTTCGTTAAAATTATTCGAGCATAGAACATACAAAGAGACCGAAGATACCACATGGTACTTTAGTCACATGTGACGAAAGTGTGTTTTAACGGTTCCTGCTTAGCTTTCATCACACATAAATACCGCTATAAATACAGAATAGAATCATAAGTGCTATGAGATTATTATGTGATCGGGAGCACTCCCTCAGTAAGAGCTGCATCTAGTATTTACTACACTGTAGTCCTTAATAGCGGATTATGTGCCTTTCTCATGAGATAACAAGTAAAACCAATGAAGTGCTTCCTGAGGTGGTACTTCCTGATTAAGTACTACTCCCACTTTAAGACATAAAGAAACATATATAGAATCAAGTGTTGTGAGACCATTCTGTGATCGGGAGCACTCCGTCAGTAAGAACTGTACTTAGTACTTACTACACTGCAGTACTTCCTTAGCTAGTACTGCATTTAACGTTCTTTAAATGTGACCAAAGCTCACCACTAACGTGACGAAAACTCGCCTTCGTCATAGTGACGAAAGTGTGGTGTGACGAAAGTACCATAATCCATTTAAAGATCTAATGAAAAATTAAAGAAAATATTTTATGACATAACACAAGGTGACCTACGAGCTAACACATGTTCGCACGATCTCGCTGGTCATGATCTTACTAATTTCTTCCCTGGCTCTAAATAGCACTTTATCAGCCACGAATCATTATATACCATTATGAAACGAATACTGGCTGGTTATGTCAAAATGTAAAGGTGTCAACAAAAGTTAAGGTTCGTCTACTGACTGATTATCACACTGCTATGTCCCCACCATATAAACGTTTTGCGTTTATATAGTTTTCATAGTTCTGAGTGATCTCAATGTTCTGAATATTTTTTATGCTTGAGTCATTTTGTAAGGTGAAGAATTTCAATATAGATAATAAGAGATACACTACCGTTTTCATCATGAAAATCGACTATTTTCCGTTTTCATGATGAAAAAGGTAGTGTATCTCTTATTATTTTTTATGCTTTTGAAAGTTCTCATTGCCTACATTTCTCTATTGCAGTGTTTCAGTTGACACCTATGAACCACAGTGGGCATTTTTAGCTAGAGCAGGCGGACTTTTAGCTTTATGAGTGAACTAAAATTTCATGAACCATTTTTTTATAGGTTTTTCATGATCCTCTTTCTAATGGCATGAGAGTTGGGCTTTGAAAAGCTTTTTTAAGGAGTTTTCCAGAGATCCAGTC